ACAGCTGCAGCTGTTGCCAATCAGAGTTCCAGAGTGTTTATCTTATAGTGTCTTTTCTGGGGATTGCCAATGTTGCTATTGGCCTTTGACATATGTTGGGATTCAGGTTCCACGTCCCACGGCGAAACCTCTTGGCAAGGCTGCACATGTGGTGAAGAAGATGCTCATTACTGTAAGAGGTTGGCTGAGAGGTCCGCCCATCAGCGAGTGCAGGAGGTTATGCTTGTGACTGAAGCCGCTGGGCACAAGTTTTGCATATATCTTTCCATGCAGAACTCAGACCCAGAAGCTTCAGAAAACTTAGCAGTTATGCCTCAGGTCTTCAGGAGAAGCATTGCTCTAGTGGAGTACCCGGATCTGGCAAAGTACCACCCCAAGCCAGACTTCGAGATCCGCTACTTAAACAAGAAGGCTCCCAAGAAAAGCAAGAAAGCCCGTGCTGCCGATGCAGAAGCAGATGGTCCTGAAGACAAAGACCGACCCGTCCCTTTGGCCGATGATGCTTCGATGAGTTTTAAGTCTACGTCTTCGACTAGTACCCTGTCGGCTGTGTCGGTACAGGACATTGCAGCTGTGGACAACAAGGCTACGAACACTGCTCTTTTTTTATTATAAGCACCTTGTGAAGGGCTTGCAGGGCTGTATTTATAGTCTATGGGCTCTTTAGAATATGGTGTCAATACTTGCAGTGCTTGAAAGGGTCATACCCTATTACTTTTTTTAGGGTACCTACTTTTTCACATAAGGGATCCTAACCATAAAACTAGCTACCTTAAAAACGGGGTAGGGTATATGACCATGTGGTTAGAAGGTTTCTACAAGGTGTAAGTTTGATGGTTATATCCCTGGATGTCTCGGCTTTTGCTTTGCATAGAGTCCTGAACTGTATAGCGCTTTTAAGACTGTTTCTTAAAGCATGCGGTTTTAGATAGGTTTTATAAGGCACCTACATGATTGAGGTTGTTACAGGTTGTTTTTTTCCGCCTAAAGCTTCCGGGTGGAACACACGACAGCCGAACTTTTGACAGGAGCTTTTTTCATCCGAGCCAGAGCCCGCTCCGGCCGAAGCTCCGGGGCATCAAGCCTCGGCTAGATGTGCAGAGGAGGTTTTTCGGGTGGCAACCCCTATGGGCGGGCTTCGTAAAGCTGCAGCTGTGGAGACTTGCGAATCGGATTCGGATGACTGTCATATGTACACACCGAAGCCCAAGCCTTCGACATCAGCGATTCTGAAAAGTCACCCTGCTGAGATTATAAGCTTCTCCTTGTGCATCCGCTTGTTTTGTCAAGAAAATATATCAAGCTTAGGTATTCTTCGGCGAAAGCTCTTGGATCGAGTTTCACGAACTACGATGAGGAAGGGCTCAAGTTGGCCTCCAGCTGGCGACAACATGGACACACAGCCACTGGTGCTTCAGTTGCAAGGTGTACATGTTACCGAACACATGTATGCCTCATATGCCATCCAAGGAGGATTGCTATGTTGACCTCAGCACACCACACCCTGCCAAGGCAATGTGTGTTAGTCCAGATCATTTACATGTTCAGTCTGAACATAGAGGTATTTGCATTGTCAGCTTCGTCGTGATTGTGCAGGGGCTGGCTTTGATGCTGCCTGCATCTGCCGATGTCGGACGAGAAGCAGTGCTGCCTGAGCTCCTTTATTCGAGAGTTACGGTGCATAAGAACATTTACTCACCGTCATTTCTTGTCTTCCGCTGAATTCATACATATATTTGCGAGGTGGCCACACGATGCCCAGCCTGCCTTTGGGCAATCTTTCTCAAGCTCATCTTCGCAGCTGTGCTTGGACAATGAGGATGCTGCTGCTTGTCTTCATCAGACATGTGCTGCAATGCCCCTACATGCATTCTGCATTTCATGGGGTTGAGGTTGCTGAGCCCGAGCCAAAGACCTCCAATCCCAGAGTTCTTCTACGAGGCCTCGGCTCGGAGGCAGTTGCAGGGGCTTCGCCGGAGATGGATGCATACAGCCGGCACATAGAGCTGACGAAGACTTTGGTTCAGCAGGCTGCTCAAGAGCTTAAAGTGACTGCGAGTGAGCCGCTCACACGTGCTATGCAGAAGTCGGTGTCCGATGCTGCCAAGAGGCACTGGGCCAAGCGGCCTGCAGGAGATGTCGATTCAGAAGCAGCTGTGCCTGCTTCCAGGAACAGAGGCCGGGGAAATGGCCGTGGAAGTGGTCGGGGAAATGCCCGTGGAAAGGGTGGTCGGGGCAAGGGTCGGGGAAAGGGTGGTCGGGGCACTGGGCGGGGAAAGGGCAGGGGAAAGGGCGGTGGCAAGGCTCCGGGAAGGACCGGTGCTAATCTACGCCGATCTCTTTCCCGATCTCTTTCTATGAAACCCAAGGCGAGAGCTGCTGCTAAGCCGAAGGCAAGTGCAAAAACAAAGGCAAAGAAAAACCTTGCAGAGGCCGAGGTTCCAGCATCGTTCGAGCACCCGGTGGACAGGCTTAATGCAGAGCTTCGAGCTTTGGAACACGACAAAGGCCAAGAGTTCGACGCCAGCAGGAATGTGTGGGGCAGGGTCTCGGATGACCTGAGATCGAAGCTTCGGCCTTTGGTGTACAAGCTAGAGAAGCTTCTCGAACACGTGTAGTATATACTTGCTGTGTTGAGTTAATAAGTCCTCTCGCAATTTGTTTTCGTTGTCATTCTCTCCAACAAGACTTACATACTGCATCTCAGCTGAGGTGGTACATTATGCCGTATTGGTCCAAAGGGCACATCGGCATGAGGCAAGGTTATCAAGGGATCCAGTGCCTCTACCAGGCTGGTCACAACTGCATGTCCCGGAATATCCAAATCTTCAACTCGGCCGTCCTTTGACTGCACTTCGAAGCCCACCTAAACCCTAAACCCTAAACCCTAAACCATAATTGCATGTAGCATCCGTGTCACTTGAGGTCCGTCTTCTGCAGTCGCATCCAGAGTGGAATGCCGTGGATCCCAACTTCCGTCGGGAGTACGAAAAGCTCCTGCACCAGTGGGACTGAGATGTGAGGCCTCAAGGGAGCTTGAGCTACGAGCCATGCTAATTCGATGCAGGGGAGCTCTTGGGATTTTCGGGCGGTCGAGACTGCATGTTCTTAGGGGCACTAGAATAGATATAAGGCCTCGGGCTAGACATTCTGTCTTATACACTGCAAGATCTCTGCATATTTATTGCTAATACATACATCCTGTTCTCGTGCGAACCGGTCGAATCTACCACGGATTTCCATGGATGTCTTCCCGTGCAGCACATGCACCTGCAGCAGGCCCAGCTTGGATTTTAGGGTTTAGGGTTTCGAAATTTAGGATTTAATTATGTTTAGGATTTAGGGTTCAGGTCTTAAGATTTAGGATTTAGGGTTTAGGGTTTAGGGTTTTAGGGTATTTGAGGGTTTAGGGTTTTATGTCGTGGCCTGTTTTCTGCAAGCTGTAGCACATGCTGCATGCTGCTTTGTTTGAAGCAGTGGTGGCTTAAATGTGCATTTAAATCAACTGATGCAACTCGGATGTGACACGCTTCGGCTTCTTGGTGTGCTTCCGGGCCTTGGGAAAAAGCGCCACGGCCCACAACAGTCTTCCCGAAGCTAGATGCAAACTCCCCAAAGCCCCTAGCAGGTCCCTTTCGTTTTCTGGTATACCCCTATTTATAACAACGGACATTTAATCAAGGTTTCCAGGGTCACTGCGAGTTTAGGGATATCCTGCCCATAGTCCCAGAGGTCTCGTGTGCCCCTGCAACAGAATGCTTCAAACCTGACTCGAACAACACGGGCATATTGAAACCTTGAGGCTCAGTACAGACTATCTATGATAACTCGATAACCCCTTCATGAACTCTGAAGTCCCAAGCTGTCTAGATTACAGATCGCAAGTAGGTAAAAGATCCCCGAACTAAGACCCTAACCAAGAAGCAGAGCCACTGGTGTGCAATTTGATCTCTTGAAGAGTTTCGCCCCGGCCCTGCACCCGATTCTGTGGATCCGGCTATGTTAGGAAAACAAAGCTTTCAAACTTTATATTGTATACCCTAAACCCTATAAACCCTAAACCCTAAACCCTAAACCCTATAGAGAAGCCTTTATCATTCCCCGCTCCTACTCTGCTGGACTGCTCTAGGCCCGATCGGCATGGCATGCGATGCCACGGCCCTCGCTTGGGATCTCAGGAGGCGCTTCCCCGCCTTGGCTCCGTGCAGTGGGGTTTGCATCTCTTTGTCGTTGAACAGTCGAAGGAGCATGCTTGGGGTCCACACATGTAGTTATGTCATCTGGAGTTTTGGCTGCTTCGCTCCCAGGGTGCGGTATGTTAGCCATGTCTAGGTCAGTGTAGGCTGCTGCACAACAAACAAAGAATGCTCAGGATAAGATCTCATGATTGTGTGTGTGTAGAGAGAGAGAGAGAGAGAGAGAGAGAAATAAAAAAGAGAGATTTAGAATGTCTAGGCATACAGGCAGCCGAGCATGAGACAAGTGACCTACCCATTTTCTGGAATGTCCTATAGCACCCTACACATGTGTAGAAGCACCCCCAATTCACATAAACGCCTATAACGAAGCCTGGTTTCACTCGTTATCCGACTGGCTATCGAAGCCATGCATGATGCGATCCTGGAGGCCACCCAATGGACTTAGATGTGTGTTGGCAAGCAATCATATATGTGCCTTGCTGAGAAGTGTTCTGCCTGTCCTTTGCTGTTCAAAGGTTAGGTTTTGCCCAAGCAGTAGTCAGTTCTATAGGAAGCATGTCGAAGCGAGCCGATTCAGCTACACGCTGCAAGACTTTGGATGATCTTGTGGTGAAAAGGGTGGAAAAAATGCTGAATAATATGCCGGATCCTGGCACCGAAGGCTTTCAAGACCTCACAGATTTCAGCTTCGAGGCCATTCGGAACGGTGGGTTGCACACCTTCCAACATCTCCCTGAGGAAGTTTCTCATCTGAGACGACAAGTGGAGGAGATTGTCGACGCATTGACTAGCATCCGTTATGGAATTGACGTGGAAGGCAGTGTTCACTACATTCGTACAGGCTTCGTGTTTCCACAGGAGAAGCAACTGCTCAATCTTCCTGCTTATGTGCAACACGATACCAGATATGCTCTGTCACAGGTGGAGAAGCATCGTGGCATGTTTGTGAATGGCCTTAGCGAAGCTGAGACGGCTCGCTTTGACGATTTTGTTATGGCCCTTCGCTGCCTGTACACACAGACCCTGCTCGAAGGATGTGCACCTAGGAGTTAGGGTAGCATCGTGCCGTAAAGACCTTGCTACTGCTCGGAAAAGCTTGTGAGAGAGACAGAGAGAGCCTAAACCCCAAACCCTAAACCCTATAAGCCCTAAACCCTAAACCCTAAACCGTCCAGGAACCCGGAACTCGATGACAACCCCATGCATCCCCGAACTTCAACTACATATCGAAGCAGGGCTCTTAAGGCTGAGCCCGACTCAAGAGGGCCGCCCAACCCAAGACCCCAGCCCGAACACCCAAGACCTCGCACTTTCCGGCCCAATGTGAAGTCACTGCCGACAGGATGCGATGAAGTGCAATGGAATGGTCCTTTGCAAACTCAGAGGCAGTGTGTCTGCTTTGGATGCTGAAGGGGCTTCAAGTTAATGGGGTCGGGCCTTTTGGTGTTTTGTCGGTTTAGCTGGGAGGGTTCAGGTGATATATAATTTCAGTAGCATCGGTGGCCTGGGCCCCTATATCTTTATGTTATCCATCTGGCACTGTTTTGCATGGGTGCCTACCGGATGTACAGCTCAATGAGATTCATAGATTGTAGATGAAACGGTATAGGTAGCTTTATCTGGAAGGACCTGTGCTGCAGCTGTCTCTCTATGGGGACAGTTCTAGATTCTAGCATTTGATGCCTCACCCCGGAACCCACAACCAAGGACACCTAAATCCTGAACCCTGGCCCCCTAAACCCGAAACCCATAAGCACCAGGAGCCAAGAGGCCCTCCAAGCAGCCCAGAGGCTCGATCCTCCGCTGGGTTGTTGTTCGGGCTCAGAGATTTATATAGCTTTAAGTGTTTTGGGCTTGAGGTTTTCAGGCTTTAGGGTTTAGGGCTTTATGAGGGTCAACCAACTGAGCACTGCCGGCTGCAAGGCTTGTGGGCGCCGGAGGGGCTTCAGGTTTGGAGTTGACGGGATTCAGCAACATGCTCCTCTCTCTCTCTCTCTCTCACTCTCACTCTCACTCACACTCACACTCACACTCACACTCACACTCACACTCACACTCACACTCACACTCTCTCTCTCTCTCTCTCACTTCCCTTCTCTCTCTCCCTCTCCTCTCTCTCTCTCACTTATCTTCTCTTTCTCGCTCTCTCTCTCTCTCTCTCTCTCTCTCTCTCTCTCTCTCTCTGCTGGTGGCAGTCAGAACATCGGAAGCCATCACATTTTCTAACCTAAACCCTATAAACAATGTATACATGTCAGCAATCGCAAACTGTCAAAGAAATAAGTAGTGCTTCGTCCTGCAGAAGAAGCACCACTTAAACCCTATCAAACCCTTAGAGGTACCATGTAAATAAATTCTACTCCCTAAAAAAAAAAGTGCACAGGAGTCTTCGCCCTAGGACCACAAGCTCCATGAGGTTCTACATGAAGCGATATAGCTGGCTTCATCTGGAATACAGAAAGTTCTAGATTCTAGGTGTCTAAACAGAGGGTTTGTACGACAGATGTGCAGGATTTCAAAAAGCAGCATTTCATGCCTCACACCGGAACCCACAACCAAGGACCCCTAAATCCTGAACCCTAGCCCCTTAAACCCGAGACCCGCAAGCACGAGGAATCCTTGGAGCCAAGAGGCCCTCGCAGCAGCCTGGATGCTCCTCTGCTGTTTTTTTGTTCGGGCTCAAGGGTTTAAACAGCTTTAAGGCTCTCGGGCTTGAGGCTTTCAGGGTTTATGGTTTAGGGCTTTATCAGGGCCGGAGGGGCTAGGGGCTTCAGGTTGGACTTGACGGGATTCAGCTCAAATCTCGGCTCTTTCTCTCGCTCTCTCTCACTCTCACTCTCTCCCTATATAAGCCCTAAACCCTAAGCCCTAAACCCCTAAGCCCTATAAACCCTAAACCCTAAGCCCTAAGCCGTGCCAGGAACTGGAGGATTCTTCATGCAAAGTTGTAGAGGATAAGTGGTGCTTCGTCCTGTAGAAGAAGCACCACTTTCGTTTTCCTGTAATCCTGTAGATATAAGCCCAACCCTATGAAACCCTAGCCATGTACATAAACCCTAAAGCCTCAAAGACACTGTGCACAGGAATCTTCGCCTCACGACCACAAGCTCCTTCCGCGAGCAGGATGAGAGTCTCGCCCTGATTGGTGCACCTTAGGTTTGGCTGGAGAGCGACGAGGGGTGGGAGGGAAGCTTGAGCCAAGTTGTCTTTTTCAATGGGAGGCCGGTTCGTGAGCTGTTGGGTCACTCTTGTCAAGACCCTTCCCAAACCACCAAACCCATCATCATGAGCACACGGGCCCAGCATCACGAGCATCCTGGAATTAGGTGTTCTTTTACGTGTTCTTTTTCT